CCAGCCGTATCCAGGCAGGCAGCTACGGATTGGAGGGTCAGCATTCGACGCCCCGGTCCCCTGCATGCCCCAGTCTCCTCAGCGTCCTGTAGAGAGACGGAGCCCAGGCCTTGCGTCCTGCTGCCCAGCACCCTCCCGTACCTGTCAGGGCGAGCGTGTGGTTTCGGCCACAAGCGGCTGACGCAATCACTTCATTGCTGAGAACTTCGATGAGTTTCGGAGCCTCCACGCGCTTGGTGTCCCCGTGCCCCAGCTGCCCTTTCTCGTTACGACCTGGAGAGACGCGGGCGCACAAACAACACGCGTGAGCAGGGGCCGACCTTCATACAATTCAAGGGGGCACCTACTACAGCGACTGTGAGCAGCTTCCCACTAGGAGAGCCCATCCTGTGAACTGTAACCACCCCTCTGACCGTCCCAAACCGAGCCTGACATGGGGATGGCAACGGGTCTCTAAGGGGCGGGGCCACGCTGCTCCCTTTCCTTAGGGCTAGATAAAGGGCAGCCTTGAAGCGTTTCTTCTGCTGTAGCATGGAAGGGGAAGAATCACCCTTCTAGTGCGCACGAGGCATCTAACTAGGGATGGTCGTTATCGGTTAACCGAATAATCGATTAACCTCAATTCTTATCAGTTACTCAACTATTCTCGAGTCCTGGGGGCAGGGCCGGCAGCCAGTGCAATACGGCTCCACTCCTGAGGGGCCCCCTGCCACTCTGTGCTGCTGTCTCGGTATCAGAGGCAGCAGTACGGGGTGCCAGGCAGGAGCTGGTCCACGGGGGGAGCCAGTTTAAAACCCAGCTCCCCTCGCAGACTGGCTGGTGGCAGCAGCAGGCTCTGTCCAGGGGAGGAGAATATGTCTGAGTTCCTGGACCTGGTACAAGCCAGAACGGAGCCAGGCTCCCTGCCCACCTGGCTCCTAATACACTTTAAATGTAGAGCCGCAGCGGGGGGAGGTCCTGGACCCGGCACAAGCCGCTGGCCAGCCTGCTAAAAAAAATTTACTCTCGGGGACGGGGGGGTGTGAGTGTGGGTGGTCTACAACATTAACTGCTAAGCTTTTGCTTATCGATTAATCAACTGCACTGTTACATCCCGAATTGGAACTAGGCTCTGCAGGACACAGCAAGGAACAAGTTACCCACTAGCCATCAAAGAACGAAGCCACCACTCTGAATTTTTTTCAGGGCCCCTTTTAGGACTCCTCAGGCAAGTTTGCTGTGGTTAGTGCAATCTAGGAAAAAGAGGCTGAACCCTTAACAGAAGAGTTCAGGGGAGCATCCCAATTCGTTCCACTGTCCCTTCAAAACCAGGGCAGAAAGCAGGCGGTTTCAGGTAGAAGTTCTGAGTAAGCCACGTTTGCAGCACTTCAGCTACAGAGACCACCTTAGGTGACGGCAATAATCCAGAGCTATGCAGGGACAAAAAGTTACTGCTTCTACCCAATACTCACCCCAGCTCCAGAGCTTCCCCTCTGTGGTGATGAGCAGACTATGAGCTGCACATGGTCCCGAAATCACAGTCCGTACCTGAATCCCTGAGAGACACCCATACCTGTGAGGCCCCCACAAGTTCTGGCCCAGGTTACGATAAGCCACTGTGGGGAGAACAGAATGCAGACAAGTCTTACCAACCACTGCAGCGAGTGCGCTCTCACGTGTCGGCGTCCTCACAGAAAGGGACGTATTTGGGGATTCAGTTTTGGCCCAGAGCTTATTCAAAGGTCAGGCTTGTCCTAAGGTATTTCCTGCAACCCGCCGGCTGAGGGGGGGGTTCTATTTTATATACCGGCTACGGCAGAAATAGTTCAGCCGATCACAGATGTCTTACATTCACCTCAACGTTTTGCTGTGCTACAGGATATTCTTGGCTCCCGACATGAGACAGGAATGGGGAAAGGACCGCAAGAGAGTCGACCTTTCAGAGTCACTATCGCCACAGATTTCTACTGACAGGTTAAAACGAACCAAAAGCTACCCAACAAAGCAGTCCCAGCAATTACCAGTCCCAGACAAAGTGATGGAGTTGGAATGGGGGAGCGCAATACACCAATGGAGGTCACTGTTGCAACGGCCTGCCTCCTAGTTAGATGGCTCTGATCACAAATGAATGGCTTCAAGAATCACTTGATCCCTCGCCCTAATTTTCTCCCTGGCTACATCTAGGCTGGCATGATTTTCCGCAAATGCTTAATGGAAAAGTTTTCAGTTAAAAGCATTTGTGGAAAAGAGCATCTAGATTGGCACGGACGCTTTTCTGCAAAAGCACTTTTTGTGGAAAAGCGTCCGTGGCCAATCTAGACGTGCTTTTGCACAAAAAAGCCCCGATCGCCATTTTCACAATCAGAGCTTTTTTGCGCAAAACAAATCTGAGCTGTCTACACTGGCCCTTTTGCGCAAAAGGACTTTTGCCCGAATGGGAGCAGCGTAGTATTTCCGCAAGAAACACTGATTTCTTACATGAGATCGTCAGTGTTCTTGCAAAAATTCAAGCGGCCAGTGTAGACAGCTGGCAAGTTTTTCCCACAAAAGCAGATGCTTTTGCAGAAAACCTTGCCATTCTAGACACAGCCCCTATGTATAATAGGGCTGTTAATACAGCATCTCTCTCCAGGGATCACAAAGTGCTTGACAAATGATCAGTGATTTTAGCTTCCTGGCACCAGCTGGGTACCTACAGAGTGTCCAATTTTACACAAAGAACCCAGGGGTCAAATCCCACAAGGTATCGAGCGCCCACGGACTTCCATGCAGTGCCAGGAACGAGAGCCTCTGGCTGACGACACGCACTGCCCACAAAGCAGGGGCGGATGGGCACACTCCACTCTGCACATTAAATCCGGTTTGTTCCCTCCCTCTTCCACGATGCTTTGACCCCTTCTTGGCTAGTCGATCTACCCCCCCACAACACTGCCCAGCTAAACATCACAATACGTAAACTTCTTGGGCTCTAAGCCATTTCATGCACTTCCATTTCTGTCACTATTTCTTTAAAACCTCCACCAGGGGCGGCCCGTCCATAGACGCAACCTAGGCAGTCGCTTAGGGCGCCAAGTTAAACGGGGTGCCAATGGTGGTGTAATATCATCGAGGGGTTTGGAGGTGGGGGCGCCAATTGCATGCCGATTGAGTGGCTCGCCTAGGGCGCCAGTTGCCGGCAGCTAGTCTAGGGTCGCTCCTGACCCCCACATCACCAGGGTCTTGGGAAACTTCGTTCAGCAGCTGGAAGCACTGCGTGTGTGCAAAGCAATAGAGAACTGGCATTCTGTCTTTGGCTTCCTAGTCAGCCTCTGCAGTCTGTGGGTGAAGTGGGACGGAGAATGCCACAGGGAAGTTTGTTACAGGCTGGCAGTTTGCAAGAGTGACAGCTACCAATTAAGTCTGCTTGTTTTAGCTACAAATGTTGAATGATGAGGATTAGCTCGATTCTCATCCTGGATACTCTCATGAAGAGCGTGTGGAAAGAGGCACCTTGGTGCACATGAACAGAGGATATTCTAAACTAGCCTTTTTCTTCTCTGTTCGTCAATATCCTCTTCTAAGCAGTGAGAGACCCACACAGATTCAAAATAAGCAGAGAAAAACAGAGTAAATGGTGGATACCAATACTGAAGAATGATCCTTGAAAGCAGATGGGCAGACAATGTTAAAGAAATGCAAGGTTTCAAGCATCTTGGTTCCAGAATATGGGAACATGGGGGCACAGAGGATAAAAATTAAAGCTAGGATAAAAGTGCCGGGCTCAAATGGAGAGAGATAAGTGGGGCCGGGTGATAGGAAGACACTAGGATGTAAGCAACTAGTTGAGTAGTCAATAGGCTTGTCGGATAGTTGAGCGAGTATTGGACTAGTTGCTTCCCCCCCAACTTGCTGCCTCTGTATCAAAGGCAGCGGGGGGAGGGAAAGCAAGAGCCGGCTTTCCCCAGCATCATCTCTGCAGTGCAGAGGTGGAGGAGGAGGGGGGCGGGGGAAGCAGAGCTCACACTGCCCTGGGAGCTAACCCTGCTGCGGCTCTGAGCTTTAAGGCCGTCTACACTCGCGGCTTCTTCCGTGAGAAATATGCAAATGAGGCTAAGCGTGGAATATCACCGAGCCTCATTTGAATACCTTTTTGCAGCCAGTTTTGCAGAAGAGGCTCTTGCGCAAGAAGGGGCAGTGTAGACAGCTCCTTCTGGCCCAAGAAAAACCCTCTTGCGCAATGCCGTTACGCCGATTATTTTCAGGAATAATCGCATTGCGCAAGAGGGTTTTTCTTGCGCAAGAAGGGGCAGTGTAGACAGCTCCTTCTGGCCCAAGAGCCTCTTCTTCAAAACTGGCAGCTCATTAGGTATGCAAATGAGGCTTGGCCATATTCCACGCTTAGCCTCATTTGTATATTTCTCGCGCAAGAAGCCGCAAGTTTAGACATAGCCAAAATGTAGTAAGATCACGACAGGCTCTTATTACACTTAAAGCACAGAACCACAGTGGAATCATCTCCCCCCTTCTCCATCGACTAGTCAATTAGTTGATGCCGGTATCTTCTAGGGATGTTAAGCAAGATTCAAGTCCAAAAAACAGTTGTCCATCCAGTTTTAATGCACGGCACTCAATGTTCTGCAACAGAAGGAAAACAATCTGTTCCACCAAGAGATGGATAAGATGTTGGAGTGCTGCAAACAAGATCGACCACAGAAGGAACAAGAATGGGAAAGACATGCTAAAAGTAACACCCATAAATGTGGGGGGGAGGGGATAGAAGGGGACAGCCAACGCAGACAGTTTGGTCATGTAAAGTATATTCCTGGTAACTTTATAGCTAAAAGTCCAACAGATCATCTTGAAGGAAAAAGACAGAGGCTGACAAGAAGGAATAGTGGGATGCCATAAAGCAGAGCTACTCAACATGCGGCTCATGGTGCAGTTTGGATTTATGTGGGGCTCAACATGTGGCCCATAGGCAGGAGCCAAACAAAAACGTAATCAATATGATGGTTTTCTGTTGAGATGCATTTTAGTACTTAAATTCCTGGATTGTCACTGCTCATTAAAAGTGCTGCCATATGGGTGGAAACCGGGTAAATACTGCACTTTATTAGCATCAGCAGAACGGATTTCAATGGGGCCTGTGTGTTGTGTAGTTTTGCCTTAATCTTTGTATTCATGCCTGTCAGTGTGAAAGAAACTATTTGCATATATTTGCATGCATATGCAACCACACTTAAGCTGCTGCCCTCGGCTTGTGCTGTGAGTATCAGTGTGGCCCCCGGGGCTTCCAAACTTGAGTAGCCCTGCCATAAAGGGATACACTAGCACACAAGATGGCAGAGGGGATAAGCCACTGAACAGAACACTTTGGAGGGCAAGGACTTGAGAGCAGGCTGGATTGGAATCACACAAAGCAAAGCGGAATGGCGGATAAGATTGCCAAGGTAACCACTTCCCCCCCACCCCTTCCCCATTTTAATTATCAACTGTAAGTGAAGGTGCTGTTGACCACTGGGGTAGTGAAACTAGACACATAGGCTGTGTCTACACTGGCCTCCCTTTCGGAAAAGGGATGCTAATGTAGCACTTTGGAATAGGCAAATCCGCGGGGGATTTAAATATCCCCCGCGGTATTTGCATTAACATGGCTGCCGCTTTTTTCCGGCTTGGAGATAAGCCGGAGAAAAGCGCCAGTCTAGACGTGATTCTCCGGAAAATAAAGCCTTTTCCGGAGGATCTCTTAGTCCTACTTCCTTATTCCTATTCCAAAGTGCTACATTAGCATCCCTTTTCCAAAAGGGAGGCCAGTGTAGACACAGCCATGCTGTACTGGCCAGTGTTACAAACTTGGAAAAGAGAAACAGGAGGTGTTTGTACATGCTTATCTCAGATGACAAAAATCAAGCAGAACTGGTCTATTTTATACCATTTAAGAAGGGTGTATCTTCTACTCCTATTATTAACTCTGGAATGCCGTTTAACTGTGGTTTTTAATTCCCCGCTGTTATGGCTTACGCCTCGCGCCATCTGGGTCTGCTGAATCGCACTAACTGTCCTGATTGCCTGGGATGGAGGAAACCTGTTAATTGCTGCACTCGACATTTTCAAAGCCAACCAGTGCATTTAAGATGTGGTGGGACCTGGGTGCCTAAATCCCCTACCTCAGCGGCTCGCCACCGTTTGGGGATCAGGGCTCCTTTGTCAATGAGCAGCACTGCTCAGGTCTGGCCCCGCCTCCCTGACTGGACCAAACGTGCGTGAGTGGAGTTGTGATCTGGCTCAGGGGGCTGCTGCTTACCCCAAGTCCCATCATCACGGCGTCTGGGCCAAACCAAAGGGACTCAGATCCCAGAGGTGGCACTGCCGGGAGCAGGGAAGCGAGGCCAGACACCTGCATGGGACAGGAGCTGCTATGCACCCCTGTAAAATATTCCAGGGATCCCAACTCACAGGTTGGGAAATCCAGTCCTAGCATCTCACCCGGTCTCTCTATGGAGGCTCTAGAGACAGTACACTAGCCAAAACGATAACAAAGGATGTAGAACCAAGGCAGCGTAGCCTAAGTGGTGAAATGCATGGAAAACTAGCTTCAATTGCTAGTTCTGCCACTGATGTGCTTTGTGCAAGCGTTACTTCATCTCCCTCTACCTCGGTTTCCCTTTCCAACCTCCATTTAGACTGTAGGTGGGTCAGAGCAGACATCTCATACTTGTGTCTATAAAGCCCCAATCACAGTGGGGCTGTGAGCTTGGCTGGAACCACTAGGCGCTACCACCATATGAACACCAGAAAGCCATGCTGATTTTATTCAGTCCAACAGTCTGAGGCCACAATGTAAGAATCACTTGTCACCAGGAACCACTGGCGAGAGACGTTCCACTGTGGACCGAGTGTTGGACTGGGACTCAGAAGGATGTGGGTCCTATTCCTGACTCTGACCTGCCCAAGGCCGGCCAGCCAGCAGCACTTCCCCTCTCAGTGCCTCAGTTTTCCCATTTGTAAAATGGGGAGAATGATCCCTACTTCCTTTGTAGAGGACTTTGAAGTAGATGGAGGAGACATGCTAGATAAAAGCCAGCAATATTAAGGTTACATAGCAGTGTTTCTTAAACTGTGTTCCGCGGTACACCCTTGTGTCGCGAGGCAGTTGGAGGTGTGCTGCAGAGAACAACAGAGTTCAAAATGGTGCAGGCGACTTTTTTTTTTTCCTTCCCAAACTCAACAAATCCTTGGTGTGCCTCATTAAAAAAAATATATATTGTTTGGTGTTCCTCAGTCTTAAAAAGTTTAAGAAACACTGTTATATACGATTAGCAAATGTTGTTTTTCAGCCTGCCGGAGGCAGCCTCCTTGCTGAAAGGTTCTGTCATGTGACCTTTGCTTTGAACATCTCCCAACTCCAAAGGCTGCAATCCTGTTGTGGTATTCGTTTAGCAGCCTGAAAAAGCAGCCCTTCATTTGACTAGCAGCGGTCTCATGGCTTGGGAAGCCGCTGCTGGAATGTCTAATCCTCAGGACTCTCCAGAGTCAGCATTACCGCACATCAGAAGGATCTAGCTGTTCGGGGGCACTTACGTGGCTCCTGCTATCCCCATATCCAGTGCATCCAAATCTTTAATCCTCACCGTCCCCTTCCCCCACTATGGGGAAATTATTCCCATTGTACAGGTACAGAACTGAGGCCCCAAGAGATTAAGTGACTTGGCTCAGGTGTCACAGTAAGTTTGTGTCACAGCAGAGACTCCAACCCAGGTCTCTCTAGACTAGTACTCACTTGGACCAGCCTTCTCTGCCAGCTGCCTTCCCTCCAAAGTTCAGACACGCTAGCTAGTTACAGATTTTAAAAACCCCACACATTGCCCCATTTTGCAAAGCGAAAAGCATTTCTTGCTCTGAACATCTAGACCACTGGGCTGAACACAATAGGTGCAGCTTGCCTTTAAGTCAGAGGCCGAACAAAGAGCACACTGTCTGAGTACAGACAAGGAGGCAACCTCCCGATAACAGACAGGCTGGGAGTTTGTCAAGGCCGGTGGAGAAGGTGTCTTTGTTCTTCATTCTCACATGATCCTGAGAACACAATCCCGTAAGCAAGTCTGGAAATAGCATATTTCAATGAATGCCTGGTCTGATATTCAGAAGCACTGCAAGTAATTGGAAATCAGGCCATCTGGACACAGATCGGACCCTGGTCGCATCTTTTATGAAAGATGCAGTCACACAACTGCAAGACTAAACATTTTATTCATTAAGGAGAGCTCGTGCTTCCCCTCCCCCAGCAGTGTGTGTTCAATTTGTTTTCACAAATGTTTCCCCAGATGATCACATCAGGGAACTCCTCAACCACTATTCCTTAGTCTTATCACCTTGCTGTGGTAAAACACTTACTAGCATTCCTAGCACTTCACACCCCCAAACTACCAAGTACTAGAACAAATATTTCATCACCCATTTTCCTTCCTAAGGCATGCCTAACATAAGCTACCTACCGACAACATTCACGGGATGTTAAAAATCCAACGGAGTTTCCCAAATAAGCAACCAGTGATTTGCGATCCTGCAATCGCCTTAAAGCAGCGCTGCAAACAGACACCCAGAATTCAGTAATTTCACATGAAGAAGTCCTGTGGCCTCACAGGAGCCCTCTAAGTCCGTGGTGTCTGAAGCAAACTAGCCACACTCAACTGGCCAAAGAGCCACATGTGGCTAGCATGTTGGACGCCATGGCTCCAAGTCATCCAGCCACACTAGAGAGCTGCCCTGCAAAGCACGGATGTGGTAGACTTGGCTTTAAATGGCTTTTGGTCTTGGTTGTGAGCGTGGATATGAATTTTTGGACTGCTGCACGTCCCGCTGACAGCTTTACCAGATACAGCGATACACATCTCCCATGGCAGGATCAGGCTCACTTGCTGGCTGATGAGAAGCATGTCGCACGGACTGGAGAAAAAGGAAGCCACCCCCTCTGCGAATACTTGGCACAGATGGCTCTCTCTACCCCACTCACTCAGAACTTCAGGAGTTTCCACACAGCTCTGATCCTGGCATCCCTTTTCACAGGGGACAGCAGTGTGATGTCTACTGCTGGCGATGAACAATCCCATGGCACTCAGACAGGTTGGCCATATGTAGATTCTAGGACAATGCCTCACGACAAAGCACAATTCTCTCGGACACCTGGCTGGCTTTGGTACAGGGAGGGTAGAAAAAGACAACAGGCTTGTCTCCTAAAGGGTGCGTCTACACTGCAATCAGGAGGTGACACTGCAGATCAAAGCCAGCTCAGCTCTGCTTACACCAGCTGCAATCACACTTTTTGATTGCGGTGCAGACATATCATTACTGTAATTTTACCCACAATGGGCCACTCAGAGGCATAAATTGCTTAGCTTCTCCTACCTTGCTGTTTCGGCACTTCTTTACGGCCAATCAGGTCCCAGTTGGTTGCTCCAAATATCAGAAGCTGCCCCTTGCACTTGGACCCTTCAAGTTTCTGCCAAGTAGACAGAGAAAAACAATCAGTTCAGAACACCGGACAGGAAATAGGACTTACAACGGTTTTGCAGTTACCTCTACATAACGAGAAAACAGGTGGCATGAAACTAAACAGTTTGTTAATGTTGTTACTGTTCATTTAGATGCTCTGGGCATCCGCACAGCAGCTTATAGCATGGTAATTTTATCTACTGTTTATTTTTAGGCTTATTTGTGTCTCAAACTGGTGAAGGTTAGTGCCAAATGCATTGCAGCAAATGACTATCGGCATAGGTACTTGCAAGTTACAGTCACAGTACTGAAGCCTTGTCTACACTATTGTGGGCCAGTGACTTAAGTTACGTGACGAAGGTAGCTGAAGCTACTTAGGTCTGCTCACTGCTGCTTCTTCCTGATGCTCTCCCGTCGACTCCGCTTATTCTTCTCATTCTGGCAGAATACTGGAGTCAATGGGAGAGCACTCCGCGGTCAATTTATCGGGTCTATTCTAGACACGATAAATCCACCCCCGCTGGACTGATCGCTCCCTGTTGATCCAGAAGGTAGTGAAGACAAGCCCTGAGAGAGGATAAACTCCAATAAAAAAAAAAAAAAACCACACACACCCCAAAGCTGGATGGCCATTAGAAAGTGCAATGCTAGAGGGATAGAATAGAGCAGATTCTTAAGGCTGAATAGATCAGCAGTTAGAATAATTGAGTCAAATACACCACACACAGGATTCAAACCACTTTTATACCAGCAACCCACTACATTGTTAGCCCTTACTCTCTGAAAGTGAGTGAGACGAACTGGGGATTTGATTCACCTTATGTCACATGTGAGTCCCATATGAGGAGAGGCTAAAGCGACTGGGACTTTTCAGTTTGGAAAAGAGGAGACTGAGGGGGGATATGATAGAGGTCTAGAGGTCTATAAAATCATGAGTGGTGTGGAGAGGGTGAATAAAGAAAAGTTATTCATTAGTTCCCATAATATAAGGACTAGAGGATATCAAATGAAATTAATGGGTAGCAGGTTTAAAACTAATAAGCGAAATTTCTTCTTCACACAATGCATAGTCAACCTGTGGAACTCCTTGCCAGAGGAGGCTGTGAAGGATAGAACTATAACAGAATTTAAAGAGAAGCTGGATAAATTCACGGAGGTTAGGTCCATAAAAGGCTATTAGCCAGGGGGTAGGAATGGTGTCCCTGGAAACGGATGGCACAAGACAAATGGCTTGATCATTGTCTTCGGTCCACCCCTCCGGCGTACCTGGTGTTGGCCACTGTCGGCAGACAGGCTACTGGACAAGATGGACCTTTGGTCTGACCCAGTACGGCCGTTCTTAAGAGTTCTACTGTCCTATATGAAACCTTACGTGTGTGCCTCAGTTTTCCTGGGGCACTCTAGCCAATAGCTAGATGGCAATGGGAATTTGGGGGAGAGTCTCCCCTGCATACACAATGGCCAATGCCCTTTTTAACCTGAGCCCAGGAGGGGGTGCAACCAGGTGACACCTTTTCTCCCCAAGAAGCAAGACAAAGGCTGGAGGTTGGGCCAGCCTGGGGCTGCTAGGACTGGTGTCGTCAGAGCTGGTTTGGGGTGCAGGTCAAGAACCAACCCTGGAGCCCTCTCCCACAGACAGACTGTACTGACTGCTTCTGGTTACTGTGCGGACACATTTGTTCTACACTGTGGCCTGTTTAATAAGCCTTTGGTTCTACTTGCTGGCTGAGGGAGTGCAGGGCCCAGTGACTCCCCACACTTTGGTGACAGTGAAGTATATCACTATGTCCTACTAGTCAGGGTGGGATTCCCTTCAGAGCCCACTACTGGGCCACCCAAGGCATTGCTGGGCACCACTGTTCGTGCCTTAGAGCCTCAAAAGCAAGCTGGTTTCTAACCACACCACTTATTGTGAACCCATCAACACGAAAAGCACCACCTGCATATTTTCAGAGCCTCCAGATCCTTCAGGCAACGGAGACTCTCCAACGTTTAAAAATAAATAAATAAATAAAGCTGACTCTTTACAGCTGAAATACCAGGGCCTGGTTTTCCTCAAGCACACGGCCTACGTGTCTCCAGAGGGATACTCAGCACCTCAGAAAAATCCAGCCCTCTGACTGTCGAATGGGCACTCAGCTCAGAAAACAACTGCCATCCTGCAATGCTATCCGTGGACAGCTCACAAAGGCAAAGGGTTCCCCCACGGGACTGAACTTACCCAAGTTAAGGAGGTTTAATAAGAAGAGTGGGAACCAAGCGTAAATTGACGTGATTGGTTGGGATCTTCAAAGGAGCTGAAGTATTTAGGCATCCAACCAGCCTTGAAATACAATAGAAGCTAGGGGCTTAACTCCTTAAGGTTCCTTTGAACATCCCAGCCATTATGTTTGCAGTCACTGATAATACAAAGCCCCAGAAGCAGCCACTCCAACCTTTGGCTGACATCTTACAAACAAAAATAGCCTGGTACACAAGAGAATGCTTCACACTCTGCCCTGTGGCTTTTACAAGACTGGAGAAACTACGGTTCCATTTGATTTTGGTCTCAAGTACGCAACTAACCGCCAGTCACAGGTCTTCCCAACAACGTATGTTCTGTAACAAACAGTTAGTGAGGAAGGAGGCGTCAGTTTACCAGGACACCCCTGAAAAGGAAGAGAAACAGCACGAGAATCTGACAAAGGAAGCCACTTTGAAATTATTTGAAGATCTTCATCAGAGAGATAAGAATCACAAGCTTTCAAATGCCACTGCCATTTGAGATCATACTGTTTTCTCTGCTCCCCTCCCCCTTCTGCTTTAACTGATAGGCCATGAATTTTATTTTTGCAGCAGGGATTCCAGAACTAAGCATCAGCCTCTGTTGCCTTTATGTGACATCAAAGCATCTGTCTTAAGAAACAGGAACTGATTCCTCAGGAAAAACCCTCTGTAGGTTCAACTGACTTCACTCCTGCAACTTCCTGGTCCGCCTAATGGATCAGAAAATAGAGTGCAAGAGAAAAAAATCATTTTCTAGCAGCTGCTCCCCATAGGAAGGCCAGTCAAATCAATTGAGTACTTATTTGATACTGTATCACATCTGGGAATAAGGGAGATTTGGTATCATATTGAACAATGCAGCTAGCACGTCACTCAGCATTCAAATCCCAATATATTCTGCTCCCACGTCGGAGTCAGACACCAGACAAGCCTACCCGCAGCTTGACTGCGGATGCTTTAGAAGTAGGACAACAGCAACTATGCTAAAAAGAGAGCGCATTTTACATGTAGCACACTGCAGTAATTACAGATGCTTCTCACAGATGACTGACACATGGACTTGGGAGACCTGAGAGTTAACTGTCATCTTTATTAGTAACAGGATTAATAACATTTGGTCTATTTTCTTCCTATTGCAAGGATAGGCATGATGACGAGATGCCGGGCTATGGCTACTCAAAGAATATATCAATGCTGCAAAAACAAAATAAGGCTATTCGACCCATCAAAGTGGAGTGCAATTTCCCTGGAGGGAAGTTGCTAAGCCTGGAACGTTCAGTATTGTCCAGATTGAAAGACCATACCAAAGATTTACTTAGCAATAAAAGAAGTCTTCCCTGCACACTAACCTTAGCACACTCTTCGGAGCTCTGCTGTCTATTTAGACCCTAGTCACGTAATTTGTGCTAAGATGGATGTGATGGAAGGGGGAAAATATACAGAGCCTTCTTCAATCAGCAAAATGGGATTTCTAGGGTAAAATTACTTTGGAATTATAACTCAAGGGAAAAAAGATATTTGAAAGGTTCAATCTTTTAACAGACTCATTTGGGAGGCTGCATCTTTTAGACAAGGAAAGGGTGTTAAAGGTGCCTGGGAATGCGTTTATTGCAATCACCTACAAAACAGGGCAAACCTAGTTTATGACTTAAATCTGAAGTCATCCCAGAGTTCACACCCCCTTTGAATGCAGACGTTGCATTCAGCTTGCAATCCCATTAAATGACCAACAGCATTTGCTTGATCAGAGCAAAGAGATGGTTACAATGCATTCTGTCCACTCAGGCAGAGATCACAGACTTAATATGCATGCAACAGCAGAGTTCAGGCCTTATTGGCAAAGCAGACTGACGGTATTTGTAGGAGGGGGGGTCCCTCCTTGTCTTCTATGTTAAGAAGTTTGGAAAGGAAGTGACCAAACTATGCCACAGCAGAAGCAACTTCTACTCAATAGTATACCCATTTAAACAGTTAACCGATAACCATGTGCTTATCGGTTACCGTAAATGTTACATGCCAACTTTCAGCCCCACTTCTGGAGAGCAGGCTGCTACCCCACGATGCTAGCTCTAGATCAGAGTCCACAGAAAGGGGAGGCAGCTGGCTCTCTGGGGGCAGGACCTGAAGCCGATACAAGCTGGGAGCTGGCTTAACAGCTGGCTCTCAGTGAGCACCAGCTAGCGGGGAGCTGGCTGCCATCCCGCGCTGCTATCCGAGGTGGCAGGCGGCTCCCACAGAGCAGGTGCGCAACTGGGCGCCAACTTAAAAGCCGGCCCCCTAGCATCTGCCCCATTCTCTGCAGTACAAGATTTAGATTGAAGAGCCTGCAGCATGTAAATGCTAAGATTTTCAGTGGTTACACGGTTACTTAATTAACCGCTTTCACATCTCTACTCCAAAGGAATAAGCAAAACATTTTCCACAGTTTGTTTCAAGTAAAACCATTCACTCCCCTGTTGCTTTCTCCCCTGCTCACAAGTCAAGCCCTAAAACGGGCTTTATCCACAAGTACAAAAGATCCGAATAAGTCAGGGCACGGTTACCACTGGGAAAATTAAAGATCTGTTAATCCAGGTGTGGCCTTTCCATCAGGGCATCTGCGGACACTTTCGACAAGATTTTCAGAGAAGATGAATACCTGCAGATCCAAAGCTTGCTTTCCTTTACGTTTGAAAGTTTAAACAGATCCAAAGGCTTAGACTGGAAGCAGTTTTGAATATTCTTCTGAAGTCCCATTGCTGGTGGTCTTGAAAAGTTTAAAATAATCTGCACTGTCTTGACCTTTCCGTCTGGCACCCGTATGAGGAAAAAAACCCGACTAGACAAACAAATACTTTAAACGCTTCCATTCTTAACTGGTCGGCAGAAGGGAAGCAAACAGAACCCAGACCAACTGCTCATGGTCTCACCAACACTTCTGCTATTTCTGATTCCTTTTACATTCTAGTTGCCAGCACACCAGCATCTAACAGAAGTCTAGCCCCCTGCACACATCTGCCACAGAACACTGGTCCACTTCCCTCATAAAAGACAAAATGCAGCATCATGAAGCTGATGCTAAAAGCTGTTGCAGAAGCAACGTCAATAAGTCTGTCATGCGTTAAAGTTCTGCTTACTAAACAGCCTGATGGGGAACATGCTGTTTTTACCAACGTCCCAGGGGTGAAGAAGATTCTGCTTTCGTACCAAGCCTAAGTAACCACATTCACGTTATTCAAACGACTCTCCGGCACGTTGCTCCAATCCCTTTCTCTTTCTTTTTTAAAGATCTAAACTTAAGTCTCAGTTGTGCAACTGGGTGGATTGTCAGGCTCTGAGCCTCCCACAGAGTTGCACATGGGCACCACCCACATGGATCAGATTTTACAAACTAGGACTTCGGTTGCGAACTCTTGGGGGACAAGTCCTGCATCTGTTTTAATTCTTGCCCAAGCAAACTGGCTGCTCGGTAAAACTGATCACTAGAAGGCAAGCCACTCGTTCCAATACAGACACCGCGGAGCAGTCATGACTTCCGTCATGTTTTCTTCTTTTTTTTTTTTTATTAAACATGCTGCTGCTTGTGAGAGAAAATTACAAACGTTTCTGGAGACCAGCGCTTGCTTCAGCAGAACATCTCTGCTTATTCCAGAGGCTTGGGGGTTGCCAAAGTCAGGGGCAAGACAATTAGTCAGACCATTTTAATTAGGGATCTGAAGGAGCTCGGTGCACTTTCCAGCTCCTGGCCTCTCTCCTTGCAAACAGGTCTGCACCAGACAAAAGAAAAAAAAAAAAAAAGACGTGTGCTGGCAACAATGCTAACCGAGTTCTCTCAGCTGCCCCCATTATATCAGCAGCCAAACAGGGCTTCCCCACCTCCTGGGGAGACGGGAGGGGGAAGGGAGAACACACAGCGAGCATGCGCAACACGTTCTCTCCAGCTGGCAGGACTCCCCTTGTATGCTGGGGAGGGGAACACAAGCAGCACACGCAAGCGCATTGCCTGCCTGACCCCTGCTAACTGTAGCAGGGCTTCCCCCACGTCCTGGGGAGATGGGAGGGAAGAAAAAAGGGGTGGGAGCAACTGAGCATGTGCCCCCCCCCCCCAAGGTTAATTGCCCCAGACAAGGCGGGAACCTCAAAGCCATTAACATAGTCAGTCTCTCTCTCTCCCCCCCTCCCAACATTAAGTAATTCCCCACCCTATAATAACATCTCCCAGAGTGTCTAATGCAGACCCCCAACCCCACACTGCTCCCAGACAGAGACAGGCCAATATCAGACAGGGAGCACAGGCAGGAACGTCCCACTTCCACTGGGAAACAAGGAAGGAGACAGTCTGCATCTATCCTAGCTCAACTTCTGTGGGGGAAGAGACAAGCTCCCCAGCTCCTCGGCTGCATGGAGCTCTAATACTTGTCTTTTCCCCCGCCGAAGTTGGTCCAATAATAGATATTACCTCACCCGCCTGAACTCACACCCTAGGTCCAACACTGTAAATAACTGTTAGATTAAGTCTTTCTGGCGGAAGACTTGGCAAGGCCAGGCAGTTTCTTTCAGGAAGCTGGGCTCCTCTAAAGGTATCCCAGCCACAGAAGGTCTGTCTATCAAAGATCCAATTTCGCTTTCATGATAAAAGCAGACCCTCTCCCCAGCTAATACCAGGATCACGTCCCCAACGTCCCAGCACATTCACACACACCACAGTGAAGCTAAGGGGAGATCTCTCTTAGTGACCAATAAGTTTGAGATTCGAATGTTCCATCAAAAAAAAAAAAAAATGTTGAGGCCTGTTTTCTGCTCAGTCCTGAGACTATCCAGATTTCCCACTAAACAAGGAAAGAACCAGCCAAAACATGGGCACGCCACAGATCCCAGCTAGCTTTCTTTGCGTGCCATCAAATCCCTTCTCCCCTTCTCTTTGAGGTGAAGGCTTATAGACCTCCAAAAAAGTGAGTCCATTTGAGTCAGCGAGGGGCCTAATCTAGGGTGCTAGTGGGGAATCCATTTGCAGGTCAGATTTGAACTTCTGTCCTCAAACCCAAAGCAGCCTTACAAGGCAAGGGATCATGTTCAAAGGCAGGTTGGCTTGGGCTCTCCTCCATCCATAGGAGACGCGAGTTTACTTGGGTGCTTCCACGAGGGATGTCGCTTTCCGACAGCATTTAAATTCTCCCTCTACAATATGGAAGGACCCCTTCAGACCCAGGCAGAACACCAATCCCTGGGCTGGCCCAGAAGAGGTGGGAATATGGATGGGGCTAGAATTCCCCATAGGGGGATACAATCCAGGCCAGGAGGAGGAGACAAAGTTTGATAACTATCAAGAGTCACTGTAAGGAGGGGGTTAGTCAAACAAGGGGTTTCACCATGGGCTTAAAGGGGCCGAGTTGGGGCCCAGGCCATCCGCAGAGTCTTGCCAAGGGAAGATTTCTTGCAACCTAGGGATCGGTAATTCCTTAAAGAAAAAAAAGCCTTAACCTAGGAATAGTGATAGAAACCTATGAATTGTGATGAGCCCACGAAAGCTCATCATCTAACAAACCATCTTGCTAGTCTTTAAAGTGCTACATAGTCCTGTCTTTTGTTTTAACCTATGAAGTCATAGAAACCCTCTTGCCAAGGGAAGATTTCTTGCAACCTAGGGATCGGTAATTCCTTAAAGAAAAAAAAGCCTTAACCTAGGAATAGTGATAGAAACCTATGAATTGTGATGAGCCCACGAAAGCTCATCATCTAACAAACCATCTTGCTAGTCTTTAAAGTGCTACATAGTCCTGTCTTTTGTTTTAACCTATGAAGTCATAGAAACCCTCCCGCCCTCCCGAACTGGGTCAATTTCTAGAGGAGCAGCTATTGCCCCTTCACCGCTCGAAGGGGGGTGCGGGCACAAGAGAGGAGCCTCCCCCAGCACGTCTCAGGGATGAGGGGCACATGCTGCCCAGGGGGTTGTGCTGGGGGGGGGGGGGGGTTTCTCTCTCTTCTGA